TCTGGGTTATATTTGGGGGGGGTGTTATTTTCTGGGTTATATTCTCCTTATCATATTACCGAGTGAACAATAACACTGACATAACCTCTAAAATAGAGCACATGCACTAACACATGAATCCTACACCCTTCAATTCTAACATTAACCTTATCTACCCTTAAATACATGTTGTAGACTACAGTTTTATGTCATTCGGTCGCGAAGTTTAAAGTTAAGTTTTGCGGTACCTTGTCGATGTATATGCTTTGTATGCTTTATATAAACAGACTTACAATGATTTTCAAGATATTTTAGTGAGAATTATTGCAAAATTTAAGCACAACAAGATCAAAACATCATCGTTATAGTCTAGCGCGCGTGTTTTATAATACTGATAGGCCCTGACAACTAAATTCCAGGATAAATTGTTATTTTTCAAACTTTAAGGGTTATTCACGGCACATATTTCTGTTGTGATGGTTTGTATTGTGCTTTAGTTTGTATATCTAAGTTATCTATTAACTCATTTTTGTTCAGCTTTGGTACTATTAAATACGGTTTAAAATGTCTTTTGACAGTTTGTTTACGTTTGCTATTTTTAGCAGTTTTTGTGACATAAAACTGACATTTGAAGTAAGAGTATTTTTCAGGGGGTTCGCGTAATTTTGAAAACGGGTGTAATGGATAAGCGCCCTCTCCCAATATATTTCGGTTCCATTGGCACCTACTTTACTTCTACATCTGTCTTGCCAAAAACTCTCTTGTACTTTTAAATCCTTATTTTGTATACTAGGCTACTATACTGTATGTTATTCTTAACTGATAACACTTTCTTTTGTTGCTATAACATATGTTTAATGATTTAGAGAAGTGATGGTCATCGTTCAAAATGCCAAAAGCAGTTCAGTACTGAGCGAAAATCTTAGAACAAGCGATCTCAAACCATACCAGACAAACACGAAAGATCCCTATGTCACTGCTTATTTAAAAGCTGATGTTTTGCCTTTGGTTTTCGTGATCGGTGATGGCAAAGACTATAATTCTGAAAAAGAAAAATATTCTAACAAACCTCTCAAACAAAATTCAAGTTATATCGTGTTCCTGAGATATTTTGAAAGTGAGGTATGAGATGGGGCTTATTCGGGTAATACATGTACATTTCTCCCATAATGACGAAAATAAAATAATATCACTATTATACTTCCGTTTAGGGCTCATACTACTCGACAAAATGGAGTAGCAATATTAGAACAATGATAAGAGCTCCAGGTAAGTGATCCCTATTTACTTAATTAACTTATTCAATATTTTTTCATTACATAAATTGCTTATATGTGAATATGTTACTTTACTTGGTATACGATATACCAAGGCTCGTCAAACACACTTGTTTGCTGCACTCACTCGTTCGTTTAAGGAGATATATATACGGGGGCAGGAGGGACAGTCGCCCCCGTTGCCCTTTACCAGGAGGGGCAAGGGGGGGCAAAGGCGCCCTTTTAATTTAAAGGATTGCCTTGGCGAAATAGCGAATTGTCAGAAGTGTTATTGCATTTCTTTTACGAATTTACTTCAGAAAACGCAAGAAATGTAGTCATCGAGCTTCAAGAATAGCACAATCGCCTGGCGGAGAACCCCCACACACCCCTATCATCCAATAAATAGAAAACATTATTAGGCGAAGTTCAACTCCCGATGTTTTGCAAACATTTCTTAGTATATATCAATTCAAAAGTGCCCTTTCACGAAAATACGCTCCCTTTGCCTTCACGTCGTTCCGGCGTCCCTGGATATATATGTAGGTCAATATAATTATTATAGCAATAAGAAATCATGGCCAGAAATCACGGACATGATTATTCTATACTTCCTTACCAATTTTCATATCATTAATACATAACCCGTTGAAATATGGCTTCGGTAGTAAACAGTAAGTTATATTATTATATGGACAATGGTGTTTTACTGGAAACTAAAACACTCGTAGAAATCATACGTAACTACATCCGGGACCAGGTGCGCGTTTTCCGTATTTCACCCCTACATACGAAGTTCGAAAATTTCCCGCCATTTTCATTCATTTGTTGTTGTTTTGAAAATAAAATGGTCTTTGGTTCGTATTTAAAACGAAGTTAACGTTGGAAATAAAGACATCGTTTTAAAAGACATCTTGAGATAAGTAAAATTTATTCTAGTTTTATGTTTGCACTATAATTTTAAAAAATATCGCTTTTACACTGGTCTTTCGCGTGCTTATTTACATGTCGTCTTTCATGTATTTTTGTCACTCTGAATAAGTCCATATAATAAACAGAACATTAAACGGTTGCTAGAAGATATGGATTTATGTTCTCAGTGGTGAGTCGTGTCAAAAACAATATCTCACTCGTTCGCTGCGCTCACTCGTGAGATATTGTTTTTGCCATGCACTCGAACATAAAATCCATTATATTCTCTGATTTTGGGATTTACAGCATCGCGTAATACAATTTACTGTTTACTGCACAGCAGAAGCCATATTTCAACGTGATATGCAAATTACGAAGGAAGTAGAATAAAAAATCATGTCCGTGATTTCTGGCCATGTAAAGTTTTGCTTGCGAACCTTATAATTGAAACTTTCTCGCAGTGCTCTGGGCCGTTTTTGCTCATGCTGAATTTGCAAGTGAAGTTTTGTTAAACAAACTTCCACTAAATGATTTCAGCGTGCCTACTGCCTTAATATATAAAATATATTGTACCAGTGTCCTTTTCCGCATTTAGACAAAGCAAATGACATCAGCAGTGGAACAGAATGGTATATTGTTGTCGTATCATTGGTTTCTGGAATTATCATTGGAATTCCTCTTTCCTACATTGTCTTATGTTATCATCGTAAATTGAGAAGTACAAAATCTCAATCAAACGCTGAATCACAAAATGATAAAACTTATCAAGACTTAGATCTGACAAAAATGAACACCGAAGTCGAAGATAATTATGAATCATTGAGAGTGAATATCGCGAGTAATGACACGGAAAAAGACGACGACGCTACTTATACTGAGTTAAACAGCAACAAAGATGTGGAGAACAATTACCAATCTTTAAGTTGAATACTATTATTACAGGTGAAAGACTGAAAGATAACCTCCTTCTTTTATTCTAAAAGGTTAACATTTTTTTATTTGTTAATTTAAACAATATAATCTTTACATTTCATTTGTTCCAAAAGCAGTTAGGGCTTATTGAGGGATCTTAGCTAGTAATATACATAATTTATAATATACAAGATTTTTAAAAGAAAAATTACAGAATAGCTTGTTTATGCACATGCAAATATTATTATAAAATAACATGTATATAACGCGTGTTCTGATTGGTCGAAACCCGTGTTTGGATCAGGCCATCCAAACACGGAAGACTATCGTGTTGTTGTTATTTTATAAAACAATTACTTTATGGTTTCCGTGTTTGGATGGCCTGATCCAAACACTTTGGAATGTTGCTCGAGTTAAGAAAAGCGGGCAAAATCACTCGCCTTCGGCTCGTGCTTTCGCTCGCTTTTCTTAACTCTCGCAACATTCCCGCGTGTTTGGATCAGGCCATCCAAACACGGAAACCATAAAGTAATTGTATATTGACACACATAACCATACTGTATATACAAACACGCATGTATACAATAGATGATAATATGAAGAAAGACTAAACACACAAAGGAATACAAATTATTTTGCGAAAATCAATGAGAAAACCTTTTAGTTTCAGTAATATACGTTTGAACTATTGTAAACAAATGACTGTTTACACGAAAGTATTTACTTGGAATACCATTCATGCAACATCCAGTTCAATTTAATACGATTACAAGCATTCCGCAACCAAGTATTTCCTTTTAACCGAGCGGCAGAGGTATAAGCCTTGCGTTTTATATCTGATAAAACACTCCTACTTGTGTTTTGAATAGTACATAAAACACTCCTGCTCGTTTATTAAACAGTACATAAATATAACTGTCATTTCTAGACTTCCAGAATGCAGGATTTGGCCATTTCTGGGACCTGAGATTTCAAAATTTTCCCGGGGAGAATGTCCCCGGATCCCTCTAATCATAGAATTAGAAGATGGAATCACATGCAAGCGGCCCCTAGTCAAATAATTTCCCTAGGCGACCCTGAGTGCTGTGCAGTGTATGTTGGTTTTGGCATTTTTGGATACAATTGTAGTCTGTTTTGCAGTTACACATTATTATAAGGGTGTGTTAAGATATTTTCACGGCGTGCTTTTGCTCGGCTAAATTTTGCACAAAAATGTACAGTGATAAAAAATTCTTAAAATTAGGTATGCTTAGAATTTAAAGTTTACAGTTGAAGGTTTGCAAAGGACAACCTTTTTTGAATTAGCTGTATATTGTTCTATAAAATAATGTCAACTCAACTGTCAGACAATAGTCAAGCTTTATATATTGTTCTATAAAATAATGTCAGCTCAACTCAACTGTCAATTTCTATATTATTATTTCAACGATTACACACAGTAGTGGTCGCTTCCAGAAGGAAGTGGGGGGAGTGGAGTGGGGCTTTAAATATTTTCTCGGGTAATGGGGGGGGGGGTGGGCATGAAAAATATTTTAATATAAGGGGATGGGTCGAAAAAATATTTTAATGTTTAGTTTTACTCCAGCCCACCCGTATGTATAATTAATGAACGGTCCCTAATATGCAATATTTCACGGCATGGCCAGTCTACTTTCCAGACTCAGTTGAAGATATAAGAAACCATTAAATAAACAATGCTTATACGTAAGCCACAATTAGAGATCCCAGACGCATGTAGGGGTCCTATTGCCTATCCCAAAATTAAAATAATTTGGGAATAAATCACGTAAAATAAAAAGTTAGAAAAGTAACGAAATACTTCGCCACAAAATGAAAATAACGAAGTAAAACGTTACTTCTTAAAACAACTTCGTTCCAAGTAAAAGCACTCCAGAAAAAGTTTACTTTGTTACATGCTCACTTCTCAAAAATAGTACTCAAGTACAGTAACGAAGTACATTTACTTCTTTTAAATAAATAATAAAACAATTATTGAATTCGGTTTTCGCCAGACTACGAATAATTATCAAGCCCTCAGTTTGTCAACCTCGAACCCAGGCTTTCATTCTGCGCTCCTCTTGTCAGTTTGTGTTATCATGTACATACGCATGCTAGACTACGAGCAATGCCTCTATTTTCCTTCGTTTTAGTCCGGGAAACAATAAAACGAAGGAAAATAGAGGGATTGCTCGCAGTCTACGTACATGCAAATTGAGATATCTACAGGATACAAAACAAAATGGTTTTAAAGAAAGCTTCCGCCCCAATAATTTGTAAACTAGCGATAATCTGTGAAGTTTGCATGCATGAGAGGGAAATAATGACCCTAATCGCCCCTAACTGATCAGCCCCTCCAATACAAAATTGCTTCCTATAGTAGTGGAATAACAACTGATTATTTATGTACGTTAGTCAACGTTTATTCATAAATCTGGTCTTTCACCGTCACGTGTGCATTGTATTTTTGCCCAACTAACCAATAGCAATGTTTTAGGAAATTAAGTTACTTATCCGTGACTCGAACAATATAGGGAAATTGGAAATTGCTATTGGTGGATTTTGCAAAAATACAATACACACGTGACAGTGAAGTACCAGATTTATGAATAAACGTTGACCAATATAGATAATGAGTTATATTGTTATTCTAATGAGTTTCACAGCCATGCATCTTCCCTTCGATATGCTATGGTTAAGTGTTTCCGACTTTAACAGCGAGAGAGACTCAATTTGCTGCCTCTTATAGAAATGACGACGATACAAGTTTTTGATGCGATCGATGCCACAATTCGGTGAGATTCGTAATAACCTCATATAAATCAATATTATAAACGAATCACTTCTAGCAAGTCTAATCCTGATTCAGTTCGCCCGTTCGTTGTAACGGAATTTGTGAAGATGTATTATTTTCAATCTCGTACCCAGAGCCATCAGTTGAGTGGTACAAGATTGCATTATATTTTACTCAATCTTTTAATTCTCGCCATCAAAGTATCAGGTATGTTATGAAATTTACGTGGTATTTTATATCTGGAAAGATGGAACGATTCGGTATTTCAGTTGATCTTTTTCTTAAAGGCCCTGTTTATATGAGCCCTACACGAAGGGCTGGCCCATAGACCAGATCCCGCTTGCTAACTTAGTTTCCCCACTAAAAATTGTTTCCAGCCCTATACCAGGCTGATCTCGCTATTGACAAGGCGAAATCTCGTCTAATATAGGGCTGGAAAATTCCCATATAAACGCAGTAGGGGGGACTGCCCTCCTAGTAGGGCTGAGTGAAAAAGCTCGAATCGATTCTGAACTAAAAACTCTTTGAAGGTTTCTTCGCTTTAAATATGTAGTTCTAAACTGACGAATATTCAAATGTCTGTTGGTTTTTATTCCAAAATTTATTCGGCAAGCTATGATTTTGGACGCCATAATAAAAATAATGAATTGCACGGAAGCCATTAGGTGCAACTTGCGAAAGGAAGGCAGCCCTAGTAGTAGGGCTGATTTTTCTATAATCAGCCCTATACAGCTAGGGCTAGCCCTTTGTGTATAGGGCACATATAAACACCCCTTAATTAAGTAAACACAAACGGAATATTTTGTTGGAATTATTGTAACCTGATTAACTTATTCGATTTCGTGTGTTTAAGTCGAATCTATAGTTTAGAGGGTAAGTTTCTAGCTCTTTGTAATTTCATAAGACGTCCCGAGCAAACCACAAACCAGCACTATAGTGAAGCTTGAGATATCGAACGTATAGCTATAACATGACAAGGCATATACTTCGAAACTCGGACTCGAAGAAAATCCGAATTCAAGAAAAACCGGACCCAGACTAAAAAAAAATCCGCACTCGTCTTTGAGAAAACCCGCGGACTTGACTTTTAAAAACCCGCGGACTCGAAATGAAAAACACGGATTCGAAACAAGGACTCTGTGTATACGAGCATGGAATGATTTTTTGGAATGCTCTCGCACGGGTGTCCCTCTTTTCCCGCTTAGTCTGCTGTAGATATTATAGATAGACTGAAGAATGCTTTATTCGTAAAGGGTAGCCCAATCAGCACATAGGGGCCCTTGCCGCCCTGCATATAATAAAATAGTTATACTATAATATAAAAACTAATTTTCCAATAACACCATTACATTAAAATATGAGAAAAATTACACTGTTTTTTAAAAGCTGTAAAACGAAGAGATTTAGATAAAAAAAATTAAAAAAATTCAGAGGCGGCAGAAATCGAGAGGCGGGCGGTGACGCTAACCAAGTTGTTTTTTTATTGGCCTTATCAAATGCATATACCAGATTGTCTTATGGAATTCTCTTCCGGACAGGGGCGGATCCAGCCAAAAATCTGACCGTAGCATTTTCCAAGACCTCGCATAGCTAGGGGGTCCGGGGGTTTGAAATTTGAAGCCCGGAAATGCCATTTCCTGCGTTCTGAGCACTGCATGTGACCATTAAATTTGTCCTCATTGTATTCTTTTCTCAAGCAAAAATAAGCCGAAATGATCTCAAAATGTAAACTAT